TCCTCATTTTAGAACATATAAGACCTTTATTTTGCCAAGTAAGTGGCCCACACCTGTGATCCCATCGGCTGAGGCAGGAGGACCACAAATTCAATGCCAGCCTCAGCAAAAGTTGAGGCACTAAGCAACTCAGAGAGACCCTGTCTCTAAATAAAATACAAAATAGGGCTGGGGATGTGGCGCAGTATTCAAGTGCCCCTGAGTTCAATTCCTAGAACCCCCACCCCCCCCAACAAACCTCCTTTTAAAAAATTGAAAACAAGGGTATTTTGCTAGTATTAGTCAGAAAAACTGCTAGATGAGCCTCTAACATAAATAGCAATAGAAAGCTGTTATTTTAATATAAAATTTAAGTTTTCTATCAGATTTAAGGTCTAGGCTCTCAGCTGGCTGTCTTCCTCCCTCGACCTCTCTCTCCTTTGCTTTTTGTTTTATTAAAAAAAAAAAAAAAAACATAAGGGAAAGTGTTTTTGCATGGTCTGTGCCTTACCTTTGAGCTCACGACTCCTAGGAACCCAGAAGTACCACCACCTTAAGTGTTTATGCTGCTGAGGTTGAGAATGAAGCTTCTAAGGGGCACTTGAGACTCAAGGCGCCAGGATTTTCCTTCTGAAGCTGAACCTTTTACCTGATTTGTTTGCCAGGACTTCTCAGAGATGTTTGCATCCTGACTCTGTCCAGTGCTGTCAGCTTGTTAGGAAGAACTCTGAAAGCCTTCCACCTGCTGAGCCAAAGCAGGTGCTTCACAAAAGCCAATATTTCCAGCTTTTTCTCTGCCTGAATCCACTTAAAAGGACTTTCTAGTGTAGAGTCCTTTTATTGCAGGTGAGTATTGGTAGAGAAAATGGCTTTCATCTTTCTTCCTTCAGCAGAGAGTAAAAAACATATGAACAGAGTTGCATCATTTTAGTGTTCACCAGGTCCTTTTTTAAATGGGATTATTTTATTAAAATCCTGAAGGGAAACACAATGACAAAAAGCAAAACTACATCGTATCAGTGCATGGTCAGATTTCTTGCATGTATTAATTTTAATTGCCTCGCTCAACACTGTTTCTTAGTCTTGTGCTTTGAAGATGGATAGTCCTTCTAAAATAATGAGGAAGTCAAGTTAGCTGTGTTGTCACATATCTGAAGTCTATCACAGCTCCTACGGGTAGGGAAATACCTATGGAAAGACTATGGAATGAAAAAAAAATGGGCAGACTGAATCTCACGGCACTATCTGAGTTCTAGAACTGACACTTGTCATGGGAGAAGAGCTGTCTCTGAAGAAGTGTCCCAGGAGTTCCCCAGAGAAGCAGGAACTCAACTCTGGACCTCAGCAGTTTGTGGCAAAGGTGATGGAAAGAATGTCAGAACACGCCAGTCAGACGCCGAGGCAGAGGGTTATTTAGTACCCGGTCAAGGGAGAAGGCGGGCTGCCTTGAGAGCAAGAAACTTGCTTTGGGGGTTCCCGGCTCGGCTCTTCTTTTTAAGGGAACTTGGTGAGAGGTGGGTGTGGTGTGGGAAGATCTGTAGGAATGGCATTAGTCTGGTGATCCCAAGACCATTGCAGGTGGTCTGGTCAGTCTCGGGATATGGTCTTCCTTTTCTGATCAGTAGATCACACCAAAAAGTCATTAACTATAGAGTCCTCAAAATAGCTTATCTCCCTTTATTTATAGATGGGCTAATAAATCAACAGTGTGCAATTTATAGACCTCTTAGGAATTTGGGAGTAGCAGCCTGGAAGAGAGATAGGCTTAGTATTAGAACTACTGAGGCACCCAATAAATCAAACAGGTGCTCAGAAGCAGGCAGGCGAGGCCAACGTTACTTCTGCCAGAAGGGCGCACTACCAACCCTGATTAGCAAGCACACCTGGCGGGCAGTCTGTCTGCTTTTTACCCCTACCAAGGTGTTTCCCCTTGCTCTGATAGAAGCTCCGGGTTACAATCTATACAATCAGCTGATTTTAAAATTGGCACGGGCAAAGGGAAGGGCTATAATTAAAATGGCTACACATGGATCTCACATCCCAATTAAGGGTAAACACTATATTTTGAAAACAGACCACCTAACTTTCTGTTTCTCACATTAGGGAGTTGTAAGGGGACAGATTGGAGCATGATGGGAACACGAGGTTAAGAGAATAATTCTATTTTTTTTCTGAGATATAATATTTATTACTATTTTAAACTGAAACATTTTGAGGTAATTTGTTACACAGTAATAGATAATTAGTAAAGTTTACTTACAAAATGGGGGAGGGGGTGGAAATAGGTGGAAAGCAATAATGATGAAAAATTATTAATTGTTAAGGAATAAGTAAGGACCCAAGGTCCACAAGCAGAAAGTGAAAACAGGATTAGCACACAGAGGACGAAAGAGATGGTGGGATGAAAAACTTACTGAAAACAATGGGAAACAAAAATCATATACAACCCTCTGAGGAGGGGTAACCTTCATTTAAGGGAGGCTTCCTTTCATGCAGTTCATTTAGGGGAATAAATTTCCTCAACATTTTTTATTCTAGGGGCTGGGGTTCAGTGGTAGAGTGCTTGCCTACCATGTGTGAGGCACTGGGTTCAATTCTCAGCACCGCGTATAAATATAGTTCTTTCAGTGACGGAATGTAGGTGGGAAGGCCCAAAGGGTGGGGCACGGGTGGGCCAAAGAAGTAATCTGGTCAGGAAGGACTCCTGAGTCAGCACCTTCAAGTTTGCTGGGGGGTGTTCATTAACACTTCTTGGGGATGGGCTCTGGCCTTGGGCTTTTTCCTGGGCTTCATTAACATTCCATGAGTTGTCCTGCGTTTCCTGGAATTCATTCTCAACATGGCCTCCATTTTAGATCTTACTCGATATTAGACCTGATTTACCTAACTACACTGACTACCTAACTTTAAATCTGGCTTCACTTTCTTCACCAAAAAAGCAATCTGCCTGCAGCCCCACCTGGCCTGAGTAGAGGAGATATGTCACATTCTTCAGCAAACTGAGGAGGGGACAAAGGTGGATTGTGAGAGTCATCAGTGGTTATCAAACAGAGGACAATGGGTTGTTAACCTCTGTGGATCCTGCCCCTGGGCACTCTGGGTTGCTAACAACCCCTGTGTCCCTGCCCTTGGTCATATATTGGGGTAAGAAAGAGAAGACCATAATTAAGGATAAGGGTTCTGGGGTCCATAAAGCAGGACAGACCTCCTCCCACAGACGCCCAGCTCTGGGGCTTCTCTTCAGAGAAGTCTGTGGCTGTTCCTTTTCTTTAATAAACGGGCTTTCTACCTTTGCCTCAGCGTTTCTCTCTGGTGTTTAATCTTCCACATCAGGGCAAGTTCAACACCAACTTCTGAGCTCCAAGACTGGTATCAGAGTGACAGATTTAACTTCTGAATTAAGACCGCTTTTACTGGTCCTTCTTTATGTCTCCTTTCTACCTATTTCTTATTTCTTGTATTCAACCTAACACTAATGTAAGTGGGTCTGTGCTGCTCAGCAGTTACCCATTTTTCCCCATTCTGAAACAAATAGGTTGGATAGAAGAACATCATTTAAATTGGGTATTTTCTTGTGTCAGGGGCAGGCCTTTCTCCAAATGATATTGCTCACTCAAGTCTTTTAAACCACCCCCCCAACAAAGCTTTTTGACATGTGCTAAAATTGCCCTTAAAACAGCACAAAAACCAACCAAACCCAAATCACACAAAACCAAGACGCTGGTAGTAGGAGGTGATTAGGTCCAGCAGGTGGGGGTCTTTGGGAGATGATTAGATCATGAGTATTGGGGGGCCTCGTGAGTGGGATTGGTGCCCTTATAAAAGACGCCCAGAGAGCAAGCTAGCCCTCTTAGGAGAAGAGGCGGCACAAGAAGGCCCTTTACCAGGCACTGAATCTGAGGCACCTCGTTCTTGACTTGAGCCCTCAGAACTGTGAGAACTGCTACCTAATTGCTGGTATTTTGATATGTTATGGCAGCCCTGACCAGACTAAGAGATTAAGTTAATATCTTTAATGATTGATTTGACGTTTGCTTGCACATTCTTGGCCCCTTTGTTGGCCATCACCACGTGCATTTTTAGCAGGAGTTTCTTTACAACTGTGCTGGGTAGCCTTCGGCCCCTAAAAGTCCCATCAGTTTTAATTGCAAACAGTAATGGCATGCTAGCTGATCAGACTTCCCCCGGTTCCATCCTGATCCTCCTTACCGAGGTCGCCTTCTGCTACATTGCCCAGTGGGAGTTTCCCATCCTGCTTTGTAAAAGGGAGGCCAACTTGATAACCAAATAGTTGTGATGATTCTGATTGAGCCAGTCGAGACGAATTCCCGCTAAGAGGTGGCAAGCGCGGGCACTGGGGCTTCCCTAGGTCCCGAGTGGAGGCGGCGCTCGGGCGCACCAGGTTACAAAGGAGTCCCTCTAGCTTTCCGTGGGGATGGAGCACGTTTTCTGATGCAATAAAGATGGTATTGAGGGCGAGGGTAGAGGAAGGTGTTTTTGTTTAGTTTTGTTTTTTTTCTCCTTAGCGCTTCAGCCGGGTGCTTCGGGAAGATTAAGCAGAACTTTATCAACCAGCAGGAGCCTCCTTCCCGGGCGCTCACCGGCGGCTGGCGGGGCTTATCGCGCCTCGGGGCGGGAGGCTTGCCGCCTGGACCCCGCCCCGGCCGCCCCGCAGCCCTCCGCTCCGGAATCTGCGGCCGCAGAGCCCCCCAGGGAGCGGCACCCCCCGGATCGTGGCTGGAGGTCTCGGGGCGCCCGTCGGAGCCCGGGCACCGCGGGCTCTGGGCGGAGGAGCCTCGCGGGACGACCCGGCGGCGGTTCGGCTCACGGTCGGCAACAGCGCCCGAAGGCCACCCGCCGGCAGGGCGCGATCGCTGGGCGCGGAGGCGGGAAGCGGGCGCGCCGAGCCCTCCCAGCCTCCCCTCCGCCCGGCCCTGCGCTGCGCGCGAAACCAGAGCTCGACTCGCCGAGCGCGGAGGGGCGGTGCTCGGGCCGCGCATGCCCAGTGCGCGTCTGTCCGTTCGCCCCGCGCGGTTTCCCTGGGTCGCGATCAGCCGCTCGGCATGGCAGCCCCCGGAGCTGCGGGGGGCGCCTTCCTGAAAGGTGAGGGGTTCCCGCTCCGTGCGCACGAAGCCGGGCTGCGCCGCTGAGGGTGGATCGCGCGCGGCGGGGACCTGCGGGGAGCAGCCCTACCAGCCGCCCGCCCGCCCGTCCCTCCATCCCCGCTCGCCTGGCGGCTCATCCCCTTCCACTCGCGCTCGTCCCCTCTCCGCCCCACGCTGGTCTCCTACCCAGGGTCCCCCCAGTGTCGTCCCCACCCCGACAGGTCTCTCTCCCTCCCCACTGGTCTCCCCTCCGCCCCCAGCTGGTCCCCTCTGCCCCCGATGCCCTTCCCCCCGAATGCCCAACTCGGGGGGCTGCCCCCCGCTCTGGCAACTAGGATCCGCGGCCCCTGTGTAGGGAGACGACTGAGGAAAGGGTTCGGACTCGCCCTTCCCAGATAGCCCGGTGCCTCTGAATGGCCGAGTGACTCTAGGGGCGTGGGCAGTTGTAGAATCCGGAAAAGAAGTGACACCGCCTCCAGGGCTTGCTGCTCTGACATCCAGAGTGACCGTTCAGTGCCCCGCAGGGTGCGTGCCTTGTGGTAGTGGCTCATTCTACCGGCCGCAGAAACTGACATTTTACAAGTGGAGAGGCTAGAGCTTGGAGCTGGGGTACCTCTGTTTTGCACGTTGGCCTGCAGAGCCCGCAGGGGGTGAGCCCCTTGGCGGATCTTCTGACCCCCACCCGCTGCTCTTAGTTCTGCTAGCTGCACACTTGCAGGAGCTGAGGATTGAGGCAGTGGCCAGGTGCTTGGCACTGGAGAAAAGGGGTCTGTATAGGCCAGCTTGGGTAGCATAAAAACTTAGTCAAAAGACCAGTGATTTTTACATGCCCTCTAATCTCCTGTAGTTATTTTCCTAATACTATTCAGTATCTTGTAAAGTGAACTTGACCTTCCTGTTGCTTGGCTCAGTTGTTTACCAGCGACACAAGGAATATTCTTCTAAAACACCAGGTTTTTAGAAGTTATCAACTAAAACAGAGGTACTGTTTTAGTGCCCCAAGCCAAGGCCAGATCTGGCTTGTTGCCTGTTTTTGTAGGACCTGCAAGCTAAGAAATTTTGCCATTTCTAAGAAGTTAAAAAGAAAAAAAAATGACAAACTTTAATGTATTTCTCCATGTTTTGTTCGAACACAGCTATGCTAGCTCATTAACACCACCTGTGGCTAGGCTGTGACCATGAAGTTAAATAGTTGGAAGATGCTTTTTGTTCCTCAAAGCCTTAAAATATTTACTTTCTGTCTCTTTCCAGAAAGCTGACTCCTGCATTGGAATAATTAAACCTTGTTTAGGAAATTGGGAAGAGCATTGGGTATTAGAAATGCAAAATGTGATATCAGGAAAGGTGTTGGATTAAGTTTTTGAGTACCATAAATAACACTGGTACTATTAAGTTTTAACTTTTCGATAGAACAAGAGCAAAATCTATTGGGCAAAGGGATGCTGAAATGACCAGTGTGTATTTCACGTGAGCGTCTTGTGTTTTCAGATGTTGTGGCCTACGTTGAGGTGTGGTCTTCCAGTGGGACAGAGAATTACTCAAAAACATTTACAAACCAACTCCTGGATATGGGGGCAAAGGTAAGAATTCATTTTACTGGTGTTCCGTATAACAGTCTTAGAAGTAAAGAGATGCACCTGCCTTTTTTTTCCCCTTGGTACTGGGGATTGAACTCGGAGGTGCTCAACCACTGAGCCACATCCCCAGCCCTTTTTTATATTTTATTTAGAAACAGGTTCTCACTGAGTTGCTTAGAGCCTCACTAAATTGCTGAGGCTGTCTTTGAACTCCTGATCCTCCTGCTCCAGCCTCCTAAGCTGCTGGGATTAAAGGAGTGCTCCACCACGCCTGGCATTTGCCTTTTCTTCTATCCGGTGTGATTACTTAGAACACGAAGGACCAGGTAGTGGGAAGTGGTGTGAGGAAGAACCAAAATAGGAAGCGCTGAGAGCTGGTCTGGTAGGTCTCAAGTGTAGAGGGACGGTAGTGAGGCCTGGTTCCTGCATTGGTGTTGGGTGCATGGTGCTGTTAAAGCAGGAAAAGGGGTAGGTTTCTGAGGGAAAGGTTGTGAATTTGGGCACATTGGAAATACCTTGTTCGATGCTTGGATGTAGAGATCTGGAACTTGAGGTGTTGAAGGCTAGAGACATGATAATGGAGGTCAGATGAGGCCACGAGTGTGGGTATCGTCCTTCTTACGTGGTTAGGAGGAGCAGTGCTCAAGAGGCCTGCTGAGCACTGAGGGGCAGGGAGAGGAATGTCAGAAAAATGAGGGGGTGGTGCTGAAGGCAAGTGGGGGAAGGAGTTTAAAGATGGAATCTGAGGCCCTTGTGATGGCACACCTGTAACCCAGTGACTCCTAGAGAGGCTGAGACGGAAGGATCACAAGTCCAAGACCCTATCTTAAAAATGGTGTGGGGATGTAGCTCAGCGGTGAAGGTGAAGTGCCCCTGCTTAAATCCCCAGTATATAAATAAATTAAGATGGAATTTGAAAATGCCACAGAGCCTCAAGACACATAGGATGGCACATATACTTTATCAAAAATTTTTCCTCCATGCTGGGGATCAAACCCAAGGCCTCTAGCACACTCAGCAAGCACCCTACCACTGAGCTATATCCCCAGGCTGCATGGCAAGTGTACTTCAGGTTGAGAACTGGAAGGTTATTGTTGAACTCAGCAGTGCCAGTTTTCTGTGAAGTGGGCGAAGGGGATCTAGGTTGGTCCAGGCTTTGACATTTGAGGAAACGGTGCAGTGAACATAGACTACTCTGCTGGCAAGTTTAGCTGTGAATTAAGTGTGGTTTTGGCATCTGAGAGGCTGGCTGGTAGACTGAGTCAAAGGGTGAATTAAAATGTAAGGATTAGGATGAGGCAAAGGGTGCCTGGGGCATAAAGAGACCCTTACCCCCAGCAGAGTTTCTAAATTTCACACAGGGGAGGGGGCTGTTTGACCACCCTAGCCACTCCCTGGGGAATAAAGGATCAAAGGCTGAGATCAGACTTGCAGGAAGAGGAATTGGATTATAGACCCTCCCACCCCCGTGATGAGGTTATGTTCTGCTATAAACCCACTGTAAATCGAAAATACGGAATGCCAGAAATTCGTTTAACACAGCACAGCACAGCACAGGGTCAACTTGGTGGGGAACCACTGCTGCATTCCGCTGTCCGGCGTCTCCAGAGTATTGTTTCAGTGCCAGCCAGGGCAAAGACCAAAACTCCGACCGAATGTGTTCCACTCTTGTGTATTTTTATTTAGGTGTAGTTGGACACAATACCTTCATTTTTATGTGGTGCTGAGGATCGAACCCAGGTCCTTGCACATCCTAGGTGAGCGCTCTGCCCCTGAGCCACAACGCTAGCCCCAGTTTTGTGTACCTTAAAGTAAAAAAAAAAAAAAAAGTGTAATCATGGTAAATCAGGGACCATCTCTATAAAAATCCAGCCTGCAGTGGGGAGAGATATCTTACTGGATATGGTAGTGTTAAGCAACGAGACCCAGCTGAATGCAAACTTCACAAATAATGTCAGCCTTTTTCAGGAATAGGACTACAACTACGGGAATGAACCTACTTTCCCGGTGGAAAATGAGTCACCGAACAAAGGAAGGGACTGGGCTTATAGGTTATGAGTGACTCGGTGAGCATGTCTGGGCACTCTGGAGTTTGAGTCCTTGGGCTGGGGTCAGTGGCCAGCACCTGGAGGATTTACCTTGGAAGAGATTAGTGTTTCCTGGAGAATCATTCTAGGTTTGATGAAACACTTTCTCCCTGCTTGCAGCCATTGTCTGAAAGGGATTTACCTTGAGAAAGAAGTCAATGTGTGACTTTCCTTTTCATTCCCCTTTCTCAGGCCACACTGCCTTGGGGTTTTTCGTTTTCCATATCTAATAGGTGGAATGTGGGACTCAGGTTTCCAGATGCAGCCCTTGGCTTCTTGACACCAGGCCTGGGGATTTCATTAGACCCCCTTCTGTTCTGAGGCATGTGTTCCAATTTTCACCAACCTCACCTCCTTAAAAGGTATTTAGAAGTGCTGCTAGTTAGCAAAACTTGATAAAGGCCTTGGGGGAAATGGCCCCAAATGCTTGAGTGGCTCTCTGGGGTCAGTCTTGTCCTGAAATCTCAGCCCAACCATTCCTGACTGCATTTTGAGCTCCCCCTGTGCGATATTAAAAAGACAGATGGGCAGGGTGTACAATTGACAGCACAGACCTGGCAAAGCAGCAGCCCTTTGTTTCCCGTGTTGATGCAGCTTGCTTATCCCAGGGAACACATTCCAAAACCCCAGGGGATGCCTGAATCCACTGATGATACCAAACCCTGCTTAGACTGTTTTTCCCATACATGCAAACCTACAATCATTTGTTTTATTAATTGAGCATAGTAAAAGGATTTGCAGCAATAATGAAGGAGAACCATCCTAACGGTGTCCTGCAGTAAGTTGTGAATGGCCTGTGTCCCTCTTGAAATGCCTCATGTACTGATCCCCCTCCACGATGTGAGAAGGCCTAGGAGATGAGAAGTGAGGCTAGAGACCTCGGCCTTGGGGTGCGATCTTAGGCTGCTTTTGACCTTTGGGCAGTGTCAGTGAGGACCCTGGAGCCTGGGCAATGCCAGTGGTAGCCCGAGGGCAGGTATTCCTTCAATAAAGTTGAATATACAAAACGGGGGCGATTCCACATCCAGAAAGGATACCTAAAACGCTTATTTTCTGATGCTGTGGATGTTGGAATTGTACCATCTCCTTTGGTGTCTGGCTGATTATAAAATGGTAGCACATGTTTTTCCCTAGAAGGCTTTTTCATCATTTCCTCCCTTCCAGTGTTATTTCTTACCGTGGAGGGGGGCTACTTTCCCTTTCCACCCCCTTTCTAAGCCCTTTGGAAGACTGTTCTTTATTGCAGACACCCTGAAACCTGCTGACTTCTTACATGTGCTTGCTGTGGCCCCGCTTCTACCCTGGTGCTGGGCCCCTGGGGGATTTCCCGTGATTCAGTATGCATGTCCTGAAGTTTAAGAAATTTTTCTTTGATTATTTCTTTTGTAATTTCTTTAGTCCCCTGGGTTGGCTTGGTCCCTGCCCCCCCAGTCCAGTAACAGAGATATTTTTCATCTTATTTTTCCATTTTTTTTAAATTGGTGCAGTCCAGTGGTGGGTCCTGCTCTACCCTGTGCTTCTGATGTTTCCTTTACTTCTTCCCCATCTCCTGTGTGCTCTATCGGGAATATTTCCTCAACCTCCTTGTCCCATATTTATGGACAATTTTTTTCTTATTTTAAAAGTTTCGAGTACCTCCAAGTCTGATTCTTTCAAGAGGAAATCTTCCAATCTTATTGGGAGTGCAGTGATTGGAAATATTAAGTGCCTTTAATATTAGATATGCGATTCCTGTGTCCTCTGAGTTTTTTGGTCTCACTTGAAGGAGCGGTGGTTCTCGGGAACTTTAATGGTCTGATGGTTCCCTCTGTCCTGCCCCTAAGCCATGTGCCTCCTCTGGTCCACTTTTCCTCTCATCTGTCCTCGTGCAGCTTCGACTCTGCCTTTTTGGGGGGAGCAGAGGTAAGCGGGTGGCAGACACCCATTCTAACCAGCTGCGTTGGTAGCAGCAGTACACAGTCGTCAGTGTGCCAGGATGGAACACTGGGGTGTAGGGGCTTTGGACACTTTTATTGACACATATTGACTAACATATCCTTTTTGATCACTTGTGCATAAGAAATTGAGCAAATAGTAATGTACTTTTGGTTTTCTGTGTTTTGTCTACAGGTATCAAAAACTTTTAACAAACAAGTAACTCATGTTGTTTTCAAAGATGGGTACCAGAGCACTTGGGACAAAGCCCAGAAGATGGGGGCAAAGCTCGTATCCGTGCTCTGGGTGGAAAAGTAAGTACCGCTCTTCTGTTGACGTTTAGTAGTAAAAACCTACTGCTGATATTTTGCATGGGTCGGAAACTAGGTAGTTTCCCCCTCTACCTCTTATTGGACAATTTGACTTCTTCAAGCCCTCAGTTTCTGCAGCTGAAAATGGGTATGGTGTGAACCAGTTCTGTCTAGAGGGCAAGTGGTGTGAAGACCTGAGGGGCAGTGTGCTGGGTATCGGGGGCGGAGCATACTAGCCAACTCCTGCCGGGATGGCCACATGCCCTGGCCTGGGGAAGGCCCCATGTCCAAACTCCAGGGGTCTCCAGGCTTGTGTCCTGAGGCCTCTCCTTGACTTGTGTTGAACCTGCTTCTCCCCTTGTCTTGGGTCTTCCCTGTGTGTCTGTGTCCCAATCTCTTTTCGCCAGGATGCTGGTCAGATTGGATTAGGGCCTAAATCGGTGACTTTGCTGTGGCTGGTTGTCTTTTTAAATATCTTGTCTCCAAATGTGATCACTGACTACATTCCCGGGGGTGAGGTTGGGGACACATTACAGCCATCGCAAGACTGGGAGGTGGAGGTGGAGGCTGAGTTCAGAGGGACGTGGGAGCAGAGTGTGCAAGGCCCCGTGATGTAAAGAGCAGGCCGGGGCAGTGGCCAGCAGATCACAGGGAGGCTTGGAGTCCAGGCTGGACCTGCTGGCCACAGTGTGGCACCGAGGATCAGGAGGTGTTTTTGAAGGTAAGGGCAAAGCACATCCCCTGATGATTTGGTGTTTGTAGAGAAGAAGAAATCGGGATGACTGAGAATTTGAGGCCAGAGGAACCAGAAGATGGTGTTCCACATACTGACTTGGGAGGCTTCAGGAGGGCTTACTGGGGAATTGGGAGTTGTTTGGACACCGAGTTAGAGGCATTTACTCTACCTGCTGTGGAGACGTAAGGCAGGCCGATGTCTGGAACCTGGGGGGAGATGGGAATGTGGGAGTTCAGTTTGCAGATACCAAAGCCGGCAGCTGGAGGGGCTCCTTGGTGGACATAGAAGGGAAGGGAGAGGTTTGGGATTGAGTGCTCCTGGGTTTGGAGGCCAGGAACCAAAGATCAGCAGCCAGGAGGAGGGTTCTGGAGGTCTGGTGACACTTTCAAAGCAGCAGTGGGCCGAGTAAAGGAGTTCTGAGGGGCCACCCCTGGAATCGGCAGCCGAGTCACAGGTCATCTTGGGGAGCAGATTTGATTGGTTCGTGGGAGTAATAAAGATGGGAATCCCTGAGATGGAAGTTGGGAGGAGAGGGTTGCAAGTGCAGCATGCTGGCCACTCAACGGGGCGAGGCAGGCAGCGTGGTGAGTCTCGTAGCATCCCTGTGTGTGGCCTGAGGGGGTCCAGTGCAGGGCTCAGTGATGCTGAGGCAGTGTCCACCAGTGCAGGTGGGCTGTGGGTTACCTCAGTGGGTGGGCAGGGTCAAGGACAGGTCGTTGGACCATCCTCCTAAGTACAGGAGGGAATGCAGATGTTCTGGGCAGTTCCTGTTAAGTGAGTAGATGTGGCAGTCAGGACTTGTGGAAATCTTTTATTTGGAGTTTTCTTTTTGGTACTAGGGATTGAACCCAAGACACTTTACCACTGAGCTACATCCCCAGTTCCTTTTCCATCGAGCTACATCCCCAGGCCCTCTGTTGGTTTGAGATAGGGTCTGGCTGGCTTGCTGAGGTCAGCCTCAAACCTGATCATCTAACTCACCTCCCCAGTCTCCGGGATCACAGGGGTGTGCTTGTTTGCTTCCTTGGTGAGAGGAAGCAAGGCTCCCCTCTGAGCACGAGGGCAGGGCAAACAGTGTCAGGGGGCTAAGGAGAACACTTGAAATAGCTGTCTAGGAACAGGGGAGAGTGGTCAGAGAAGGTCTTCCGCCAGCTCTGTGCTCGGGGCTGGCTTGAGGATGTCTGTGAGGACAGGGGAGCAGGACAGTGGTTTGCCCAGTGGCCCTCAAGCAGAAGGGAGCAGGGGTCTTGTGCTCACCAGGGTTGGGGCTTTGCCAGGCAGCCACGACCGGGAGAGGGAAGGCTGTGAGGCCCCTGCAAGGTGGTGATCCAAGAGGTCATGGGGCCCCAGCTCAGGAGCACATGGGGGGAGGCTGTGAGGTAACAGTGGATGCCCTTGGATAGGTGGAGGGGTGGTTGGCGCTGCAGAGACTGGATTTGGAAGGAAAGGAGGGTGTGGCTGGAGAGCGTTGAGCTTGGAGGCTGGGCCGAGAATGGAACTGGGCGGCACCTGAGTCCACAGGGGACCCTTCTGTGTTGAGCCACTTACCCTGGAAGTAGTTCTGCCTTCAGCAGTGACCGGCAGAGAGGTACACCAGGTGCTCTGGAGACCCAGGACATGACAGACCTCAAATAACTCCTTACCTAGGGGAATGCTAAGGGCACCGCAGGCAGGGCCTGGCGGCTGCAGACCTGGGAGCCCATCTTCCCTGTGGCATCGTCCTGGAAAACCTTTAGAAGGTCATGTCCTCCCAAGAGTCTTGAGGCTGCACCCTACTGTTGTCCATCAGTGGACTTTACGTTTGGGAACACACACACTTGGTGTCTCTGTGGTCTTAGCCTTCTGATACCAGGTGTCTGCGGTTTCTCCATGTCAAGCTATTCTCCAGCACCCTGAGCACCAGCTGGGTGTCCTAGACTTTGGTTCAGTTCTCTGGATCACACAGGTAGGGGTGTGGTCCCATGCGTTTGTCCTCACCTGAGATGCAAACTGCAAGTCTTGGCCTCTGCTCCTTCAGACCAGACACCACCCCGGCCCGGACTCTAAGTTTGCTGATTACTTAGAACAGCTCACAAAACTCGAGAAAATGCTTTCCTTTCCGTGATTGTCTTCTTCTAAAGGATACAAGATAAAGGACTCATGGGGCGAGGCCTGGGGTGTCGGCACAGGTGTGCCAGCCTCCTCTACCTCCAGCCCTGTTCAGCAACCCGAGCCTGTTAGACTCCCCTTTGAAGAGCTACAGAGCTTCATCTCCCATCCCCTCCCTGGCCCCTCACTTTTCTGGAAGTGTGCGGATGGGGCTGAAAGCTCCAGGCCTCTGGTGTACACCAGGCTTCCCAGGACCAGCCATCCAGGGCCCCACCCCGAGTCAGTCTTGGCACAAGCGCAGGCCTTGTGAAAGTGGACCCACGTGAACAACAGAAGACCCCTCCTTTGGGAATTTTCAAGGGTTTTAGGAGCTCTGTTGCGGGAAATGAAGACCAACTGTATTTCAAATTATAGGACCAGTTTTAAGGTCCCAGTAAGACTGATTGAAAGTAGGCGTTCCTCATGGCCCCCTCCAGAGCTGCTGGACCCTGACCTCACGCAGCCTTGCCCCACAGCCACCTGGGCCCTATTACTCAAGGCTTTCATTAATTTAGTGAGAATGTAGAAGAGTCTTGGGGCTTGATTGCTGCTTGTGATCTGCTTTAATTCTCTGTGGCTCTAATAGTGGATGTTTTATGTGATCAGTTTTGGGAGAAGCAGTTACAGGAAGCTAAACTACAACTAAGATGAGCATTGTTGGCTCACATTAGTATAATATGCCACCAGAGATGCTGCCCAGGAAAGGTCGGTTTGCTCCTGGTCTTGGAAGCTGAGTGCAGGATGGGGCTGGGGTGATTGCTTTTACCCTCTGGTCTGTGGTGCATGGGACAGGAGTGTTGAGGGCCACAGCCGAGTGGGGATGATGCGTGGCATTTTTGCCAGAAAGGAGTGGTTGAGAGGTGATGCCAGCAAGCCATTGAGATGATGATGGTTGGGCTGGGGATCTGGCTCAAGCGGTAGCGTGCTTGCCTGGCATGCGTGCGGCCCGGGTTCGATCCTCAGCACCACATACAAACAAAGATGTGTGTCTGCCGAAAACTAAAAAAAAAATTAAATAAATAAATAAATTTTTAAAAAAAAGAGATGATGATGGTTATGTTAAGCTGTGTATTCAATTGTATATTAGACCCCTGCTGTCCCCCTCGGCCTGCTACTTTGGAGCTCTCTTGGAGTTCTCGCCGGGATTCCTGGGGAGTTCCTGTTGGTTGGGGAAGTGCCGGAGGAGGGATTTCTGGTGTGTGTGTGTGTGTGTGTGTGTGTGTGTGTGTGTGTGGTGTGTCCCGGGAGAAGGCCGGGTGCGTGGCATTCGCGGGAGTGCAGAGTTCCTGTTTTAAACCTACAAGGCTGTGTGGCGGCTTGGTTATTTTGTGCCCAGCCAGACTGCGGCACAGGAGCATATGGCAGGGCAAACTGCCCCTTGGCCTAAAGCAAGAGGAGGAGCTGGAGTCCCACAGTCCAAAGGAGGCCCAGGACCTCTACCACCTCCCCCCACCTTGGGGACCAAGCCTGTAACCCCTTTGCCTTTAGATGACACCACAGCAGAATACTTTCCTCTGAAAATTTCTTTTTGAAATTTCCATTTGAAGATGTCTTGGGAAATACACTTTGAATGTGTGAGAATCCTGCCTCGTGATCCCAGCACCCTTTTGTGTAAAGCGGGTGCTCTTCACTGGGTTGTCCTGAGATCGGGTAGTCAGAAGCTCCCTCAGTGATGGGGTGCCCCACCTGCCCTTGGTGGCCATGTTTGCTGCAGTCACCTGGCAGAGTTTGAGTCTTGCACTGATGTCCTATCTGCGTGGTACTGGGGGCTGAATCAGGTGTTCTACCACTGAGCTATATCCTCAGCACTTTAATTTTGGGACAGGGTCTCATTCAGCTGCTTTGAACTTGTGATACCCCCTCCTCCAGCTCCCAAGTAGCTGTGTGGCAGGTGTGGCTACCACACCATTGATGGTTTAAAGTCGCCAGTGGGAGGTGTCATCTAGCGCCCAGGCCTTCTGCTCCTTGGGGCGTCTCCCCATCTCTCCCTCCCTCTGGTGCAGCATCGTGGCTGATTCTTGTCCAGTCTTACCTATGATTCTTGGTTATTGTTCTCCACGTCCAGCACCACCTCCATGTGTGCCGTCCGCCACCCGCACATGCCTGCTTGCTTCCGTGTTGAGGATGAGTATTCCTGACC